AAATACACCAAGAAAATTTTATTATTTAAGACTGCAGATGGGTTAACAGAATTTTCTGCTCTATAATTATCGTTATTAACCATTATTATAATATTTCTGGAATTTAAAACCTCTCGCGACCACTGGTGGAATATTATCATTGGTGGTAACATATGCTGTTTCGTAATTGCTTATTTGTGACAATGAAATTAGTATGTTAGTGGTGGGGTGTTCAGTTATCTGTCAGATAATCATGAAATGATCATGTCAAATAATGGTGTTCTGATAACCATGTCAGTCATGTCATAAACAGTAGCTCTCATGTTAAGTTCCTTTTACATTGTGTGACTTCTTGTAAATGCAGTTGAAAGTCCTTCCATTCAGTATTCAATTTAGGATACGCTGTTTCAATCGTATTTACAGAAGAAATTCAACTATATACGAGAGTTGACTGTATTGGATGTTAGGTTATAAAGGTAATGTTTTAATAAGCAGAAGGCCTAGCGGCTATTGCAGCAACCACATAGCTAATTTTATGGAAATGTTGACTGGATGAGTCTGTAGTATTGTGTTAGGTAATTAGTCAAACTTAGGGCACCCTTGGTTCTGCTCTATGGTATCTTCTTGATGTATCTCACCTCCACACATCTAAGAATTACATGGTCTTATTTGTGGGCAAGTTCGGCATCATTCCTTGTTATCAAATATGCAAGTTTGTTACTGGGAATAACGTACTCGTTGTTGGCACGATGCTCACCTCCCAGATCCTTTTCCTTGAGTGAGTTTTGCAACCTTTGACCTCCTGGGCTGTACTCCGTCTGCGGTCTTCTTTGTCTCTCCCCCAAGCTTCATGACTTTGCACTTGGTGAGATTAAACTGCAGGAGCCATATATCAGACCAGGCTTGTAAGCCGGAGGTACAACGTCTCAGTAAAGATACCAAACTGTTACACAGCTGCTTGTCGGTATTGTATGCTGTATAATAATTCACACGTTGTTATTGTAACTTACTCGCTGATGGTAACGGTGAAAAATCATTCCGTCAGAATGAAAATAAGACACACGTAGATGTTCCTGCATCCTGAAGTCGTCACCTTCCTCTGCTCCTCTGTCTTTTCTTCACTACTGTCTTTCTTGTATCTTTGTATCCAGCCTCTGTATCTTGATGCTTTGCTGTCTATAGCTGTCTGTCTATATTTATCGACCATCGCTTAGGTGGGGGGCATTTTCCACACACTGGACCATGTATTCACGTGGAGGTCACATTGGACCATGTATTCAACACGTGGGGGTCACACTGAACCATGTATTCGACACATGGGGTCACACTGGACTATGTATTCAACACATAGGGGTCACACTGGACCATGTATTCAACACATAGGGGTCACACTGGACCATGTATTCAACACGTGGGGGTCACACTGAACCATGTATTCGACACATGGGGTCACACTGGACTATGTATTCAACACATAGGGGTCACACTGGACCATGTATTCAACACATAGGGGTCACACTGGACCATGTATTCAACACGTGGGGGTCACACTGAACCATGTATTCGACACATGGGGTCACACTGGACTATGTATTCAACACATAGGGGTCACACTGGACCATGTATTCAACACATAGGGGTCACACTGGACCATGTATTCAACACGTGGGGGTCACACTGAACCATGTATTCGACACATGGGGTCCACTGGACTATGTATTCAACACATAGGGGTCACACTGGACCATGTATTCAACACACATAGGGGTCACACTGGACCATGTATTCAACACACAGGGGTCACACTGGACCATGTATTCAACACATAGGGGTCACACTGGACCATGTATTCAACACATAGGGGTCACACTGGACCATGTATTCAACACACAGGGGTCACACTGGACCATGTATTCAACACGTGGGGGTCACACTGGACGAAATCATCAATTATTTCTCGAGTTGAGGCCGATACGTAAGTGTCGCGCTGGTGACCAGTGATCCAGGTCATTCCAGGTCACTGTATTGACCAGTTGTGACTTGATAATGGTACAGGATGGACCGAAACGTAGTCAAAATGTTCCTCTCCTAGGAATATAACATTCAACATTACTAGGACATTCATCATGTGCAAACATTAACGTTAAACTAACTGATTAAAAGGCTTTTTGGTCAATTATTGTATCATGGAGAATGTTGATAGACTTTTCTTGTGTTATAATCTATGTTGCTGTGATTAAGGTTCCTTTAATTAATGTGTATTTAATAGCAGGCTTGTGATAAAACGCCTACCCAATACAGCCTGGAAGTGGTTATTATAGGAGGGGGTAGTACTGGACGTTATGTGGCCCTTGGCTTGGTAGGCAAGGCTCTCGCTTCACACGCTGAGAGTGCGGGTTGGGTTCCCGGTGAAAATATTAGGCGTGTTTCCTTACACCTGTTGTCATTGTTCACTTATCAGTAAAATGGGTACCTGGGTATTAGTCGACTGGTGTTTACCTGGAGTTTATCTGGAGAGAGTTCCGGGGGTCAACGCCCCCGGGGCCCTGCCTGTGACTAGGCCTCATGGTGGATCAGGGCCTGATTAACCAGGCTGTTACTGCTGGCTGCACGCAATCCAACGTACGAGCCACAGCCCGGCTGGTCAGGTACCGACTTTAGGTGCTTGTCCAGTGCCAGCTTGAAGACAGCCAGGGGTCTGTTGGTAATCCCCCTGTGGGTCGCATCCTGGTACAAAATTGACCTAATTTGCCCGAAATGCTCTGCATAACAAGCGGCTTTCTATATAGTAGTATGTCATTGATATCAGCTACGCCTGTATACCTTGTACATGTCCTTGTAGAAATAAAGATATTAACCCTGCCTGCTACACTCCAGCGCGCGCGCGCACACACACACACACACACACACACACACACACACACACACACACACACACACACACACACACACACACACACACACACACACACACACTGAAAGACTCTTACACGCCTTTCTCTAACTACTTGGTTCGATGCACCAACTTGAGAACACCAGACATCACTGCCACTGCGTCATTCCATTTCTGCCATTGTTTCTCTCGCTTAATATTGAGACCAGCTCAGGTGATCGACGACAATAGCTTCATTGGCAGCAGGTATTGACAAAGTTGCTCAGCTTGGCTGCCATCTCCGCCCGCTGTGTTTTACGATAACCTCACTGATAGCCAGAGTTGGTGTTGCGTCTCGTAAAGTGCTGTGTGTTGGACGTGGGTGGTGGGTGGCCTGACCCTGTGTGTGCTGGACGTGGGTGGTGGGTGGCCCAACTCTTTGTGAGGGAGGTGAGTGGTCCGATCCTGTGTGAGGGAGGTGGGTGGCCTGACCCTTTGTGAGGTAAGTGGGTGGTGGGTGGCCAGACCCTGATTGAGGGAGGGACGTGGGGCGCCCTACCCTCTGTGTGTTGGACGTGGGTGGAGGAGGAAATGGGTGGCGTATTGCACAGAAAGTCTGAGTATGTCCATAAAATAAGATATTCTAACAGAAGAGAATTTGACTAATTAAAACAGGAGCT